ATCCCAGAGACATATGTGGCTGCAGAAGCTTCAGCATTAAAGCCTTCCGTTACTTGAGGACCATCCTGGAATCAGCCATAACTATCCTTCTTAGTCATTATTCACTAAAAAGGGGTAAAAGGAGAGCCAAAAATATCCACCCACTTCTATCTGCTCTATCCAGGCAATAACCATAAGGAAGAGTTCAGATGTAAGCCAAGATTTTCAAACATGGCTGCCTAAAATGAAGCTCCTAAATCCATCTTTAGATATCTTCATAAAAGGGACCTAATTCTCAGAGGTGCTGAATGCCAGTAAATCTCTCTGAAATCAATGGGAGCTTCATAAGGTTGCCAACCCTCTCATATTGTCCTGAAATCTCTCCAGGAATGAAAGGTTAATCTTTAATTAAAGATTGTGTCATGTGATAAAACCTCCAGGAAAACATCCAAACAAATCTGGCAGCCCTAACTGGCAGGTGTTCAGCAGTTTGAAAATCAGGCCACTTTTATTCCGCTGCCTAAATACTGATTTGGGAGCCTCACTTCAGTCACTGAGATATGAAAGCTTTAGTTTTATGTTTCTGTGTAAAGTCTTCCTCCCACCTACAGGCCCCATTTTTGCACAAACTGTAGGGCTCATGAAAGTAAGGACCAAACCATTGTCCACTGTAAACATCTGACTAATAAAGTAATTACCTGCTTTCAGATACCACATGCTCACACTTGTGCCTGGTAGTTCTTTTCCTCTTCAGCTCTTGTTAGGAAGGAACTTTTCCTGTTATTCTGTAATTCAAATATTTATTTAACATTTTTCAAATATAAATACGATTGTACATATATCACTGTTGGAAGTGGGCCATATCCACCTGGATTGAATTAGCTTCATTAACACTGGTGTAATATTCAATCTCTGTATGGGTGTGTCTATACTGCACCTGTAGCTCGAAATAAGCTGTGCAAATTGCATAGCTTATTTCGAGTCAATTTCAAAATAGCTTATTTTGTCATTTGGCATTGTTTACACTAGGGATGTAATAGTGTAGTCGATTAACCAATAAGCAAAAGCTTATACGTTAATGCTATAGACTACACGCATTTCCCTCCCTTCACCCTTGTCAGTAAATTTTTTAGCAGGCTGGCCAGCAGCCCGTCTCAGTTCCGGCTCGTGCTGAGTGCAGGAGCTCAGACCCCCCTTAGACTAGGGTTGCCAAGTGTCCGGTATTGTACCGGACAGTCCAATATTTGCGCGCTCTGTCTGGTAAAAAAAGTCAGAAAATACCGGACATGTGCAATGTCTGGTATTTTCTGATTTTTCTGGCTGCGCACTGGACGGAAGCA